TTCATATTTGTTACATAACGATGTATTGACGATGATTAATAATTATGTAATTGATAATTATAAATTATCACAATCAATGACAAATATCTATTTGTAATTGCAATTTGTATCTCAATGTCAATCTAATTTTTGATAATCTTTACCGGCTTCAACTTAAAAATTACGTTATACCGTCGTATCGGCATGTCGCAGCACATAAGCACATACATGGCATATATGTGTGAAAAAAAAGATCGTAGCTCAAATGCTTCGATCATACAAGATATAAACTCTGTACAACATGCAAAATATAAATATGTACGTACACGAAAGTATCACGATAATCGAAGCAAATTAGTGGCCGAATAGATCGGATTTCCTTCTTGGAGAGAGGCCTTATTCGGCCTGCCACGAAGCGATTTGCGCGGATACGTCTACAGGTGCCTGCCGCCTATAACTGTAGAATTGTCGATGGGGTCAAGGGTATCGACAGGCGTGTCGACCGTCGACCAAAATGGCAGTTTTTTACACATTGCTGAAGAAAACGGCGCGCTGGAGAGAGGGGCGTATAAACGCGTTTATTTAGAGCGATGCGCGCCTTTAATTCTTCTCGTTTTTATTGCGTTTGAAACGTCATTTCGCACCTGAAAATCTCTAAGCAAACAAATTTCTACGTCGGCGTTCAATTAACTTGACAAATATATTCAATCGTTTTGACTTCAAACATAAAAAAGTCTGAACTATATTTCTTTATACCACGTATGAATTTGTATGGTCACGAAAAAATTGTCTTGCTTTTTGAATGCATGCTACTATTTACACAAATACAACGTGCAAAATCGATTTCACGCAGGCGCGTGTAGGGTAATCTACAAAATAATTTATTTTATATACATTTTATAAGACGTTGAAAAGAGACGTAATATTGAATATGCAATGTTGACAGTTTTGAATTGTAAAGGAAACTACAAAATCATAGAAATCATAAGAAATACAAGACAGATAAATAAGGAACAAATTAAGTTGCGTTAATGTTGCGTCAGTGTATAATGTAAGGTTTACTTATCTTTATTTGTTTCAAATAAAGTAAACAATTAAATGTAATTTTCGATTACTTTAATATTATAAAATACACAGTATACACGGTTATAAATAATTTTCTCTTGAAATATCGTGAAATTTAGCATATAATACATACAGAGTTGAAAAACAAATGTATACATATATATAATATAGAGAGCATAAACTTTACTCCAAAGTTATTAAAATGTTAGTGTCAAAGTCGAACGAAATAATATGGCGTATTAAAAAAAATCTTGTCAAGGATTGTAAAACTTTCATATACTACATATCTCTATTTCACGGTAGATGATATAATCTCGAATTTAATATTATGTTTATTCATTTGCTCAATCAGAGATGTTTTACCAAATGCAGCACCAGGAGTGAATACACCTCCGCTGTAAAGATATAATAACATAAAAATAAAGTCGAAGTTTTCAACATGTAATTATAATTATTACATTTCAGTTACTAATACTTCAAACTGGAAGTTTTTAAACCTTCAAGAAATAACCAATGATAGACTTGAAAGTTAGATCAATAGATAACTGATAAATTACTTACTTGTCAGGCATTTTGTCAGCTTCATTAAGGATTGTAATTGCTGATAAAATCGCTATGATGCTAGTCGCTTCATACGTGGGAAAATCACTACTGACTTTGGTGATTACTTTCTTATTAGGTCGATCTGTGTGTTTATTGGTAGGTTCAGCCAACTTTTCAGTCCATCCACGGGCTTTGAACGTTACATTAAAATTCATCGATTTTAACATTCCCGGTTTCAAGCTCTCATTCTCTTTCTTCACTGAACCGCACGAAAATAGAGCCGGATACTGCTAATAATATCGCGTTTAATAATATTATCTTATCTAAATGATTTTGATAATCGCAAGTGCTTGCACACATACTCGTAAAAGTAAATTACGACCCCATGCTGTGCGA